GGGGGGGGGGGGGGGGGGGTGTAGTTTATCACAGCAAAATGTGTTCTTATGCAGTGGTTTCTAGAGCATTAGAGCAAGCGCCAGTGAACCACACTTACAATGCCAAATGTGTTTATTTCTGTACATATCTGCCACAGAAGTGTCTTGTATTTAACACTATTATTTAAGCTTATTTAACCTAAAGTTGTTTATTTTATTAAGGGTATTTGTTTTTGTTTTTTGTTTTTTTTCTGCACTAAGGAGAGATAAAGCTCTGTGTATGTTGTAAAGTGTGTAGCTTGCCAGGGCAAAAAACTATATATTTAAATATATAAATGATGATTTTGGAGATTCCAACATTTGGATGCTGCTAGATTACAGTTTGCTGGTTTGTATGCTTTTAAAAATGTCTCTCTCCGTAAACTGTCTCATCCCTGGTGGGACACTGGTTGCTTTATTTGTTTTTGTTCTAATTTTTGTTTTGTTTTTTTAATAAATGTAGTTGTAAAAATAAGGATTTTTTGTGTTGTTTTTTTTTAAAAATGTGTTTCTATTGCCAGAATTTCTTTTTTTGAGGATAATCTGCCATGTTTAGTAGACTTAATTAAAACCTGCTGTGTTAAAGGATAGATTCACATTTTTAACTCTCTGTTAAGTGAGATTGATGCTGCTCTCACATCTGCCCGTTAAATATGAAGCTGGAGCCAGGATATGGTTAGCTTAGCTAAAACTAAGACTGGAAGCAGGGGGAAACAGCAAGCATAGCTGTTAAAAGAAATAATTCTAGCAAACAAACCACAACTTGTCTTTTCTACACTTTGTTTTTTGTATTAAACAAACTAGATATAACATGTTAATTAGAGAGCTTTAAAGGTGCTGGTAGGAGTTTGTTAACTTGTACAGAGCTAGGCTAACTGCTTCCTCTTTTCCAGCCTTTGTGCTACACTAAGCTAGTTGTTTGCTTTAGGTTTATATTCTCCATGCGGACATGAGAGTGGTATCAATCTTAAGATCCTCTTGAAAGAGGAATAAGTGAAAAAGCACATTTCCCAAAATGTCAAACTTTTCATTTAAAGCTACATTATCTAACTTTTTACCTTTAAAATGACAACTTCACTGCCATTTTGATTCTACACTGGTTTGTAATAGGGTGACTGGTGCTTGCTGTCATTCCCACTCTGTGCCCCCCACTTTTAGCTGCTGTTAGCGTCTCCATACTGCCCGGGACTGTTTGTTTGATAGAGACAGCTAGGAGGAGAAAAGGGGAGCGAAGCCGCTGAACCAGAGTAAATGTGGGACTGGTTTTTAGTGGTTGACCAGAGCTTTGTGAAAGCCTGCAGACAGACGGCGAGCTGACCTTCTTGCTGTTTGTAAAGTAATATTAGCCAGCTTCATATGTCTTGAAGCACTTGCTTGACATTTGGCTGTGTTGGAAAAGTTTTCAGCTTGCTAGTTTTCGATCAAAAGCAATGTAATCATAACAAATGCATGTGTACAGCTGTCAGTGTTTATGACAGTGGTATTGCAAGTGGGGGTGCCAAATCACACAAATACCAAATGCCTATATGTAATGTAAGAGTTCCACAGTCAAATGGTCTGGTCTGCACATTTCAACTTCATAATTCCTTCATCTACATTTCAAGTTCACTTTGGAAACTGTGCATCAGCAGTCAGAATAACAAGGAACTACATGTTAATAGAGTTGTAAAAGTCGCAGATATTTTAACACAAAGTCCTCAAATCTTGAGGAAACCTAAGATCTGGAATCCGTTATGAATGTAATACATCAACATGGGACTTAAGATGTATTGGAAAGACAAACCAAAGTGATAAAAGTGAGAGGATTTGAGAGGAGAGCTCTAAATTAGAGCACTAAGCCGTACCGCCTAGTGGTAGAAACGATATGGAAATGAAGATGGACTGAGAATATGTCCTCGTCAGCCAGCTGATACCTGTTCGGCAGGTTGAGACAGAAGACAAAGAGCTCATTTTGGACGGTACGTTTGTTGAGCTCCCACAGGTGAAAACAATAACACGAATCTTTTCTGTGAGAATTTTTCATCCTCTATTTTGTAAACAGCAGGTGTGCTAAGACTTTCGAATGGAAACATGAAACCATAATGTGTTTGTGACTTGATTCCCTGTGAGTTGCTGTGCTTTAAATAAATGACAGATGTTGCTTTCACCGCAGGGACGGCAAAGGACTCGCTGAATAATTAATCATAAGGCTTTTTGGGTGCGCAGAGAAAAACAATTAAATTTGTTTGCTACCTCCTGCATAAACCTCCAGCCCAGCTGCTGGAGTGTGGTCCAATCTATCATGTCCTCTAGGGGCTGGTGGGTATGCAGCTGCATTGAACTGTGGGTAGAGCTGTTCTGGCCGTGTCTTTTTTGGATACAGTTTTTCCCCCCACTGGACTCACCTTTGAGGGAGTTGGAACCAGCTGCAGTTCTTTGAAATGTTTTTATTTTTGTGCCACCACCTGTGTCAGCAAAGCAAGTGTCTGAGGTTACGAAGGAATTTCAATTAAAAGACGTTTCTTAATCCTGGAGGTTATATCACCAGGCTGCCTGTTCCGACCTCCTCTGTCAGGCCACTCGCACAAAAGAGCGGCCCATGAAAATGCCAGGACAGTCAAGCGTGGACGAGCTCTGGGTTTGGCCATGGGCAACATGCAGTCAGATGAGGTAGTTAATCTACATGTGTGTGAGCGGTGCCAGGACAGCAGATGGAAGCTCCCACTGGCACTAGGCGAAAGTGTTGCCTGTTTCAGATGGAGGAGGATTTTAGGGTGTGTTGTGGTGGGTAAGATCAGGAGTTTGATCACTAAAGAGAGGTGCCAAATGACTTTGGCATCAGGAGGATCTGGAGGAGAAGTGTCCGTGGACAGAGGCCGGGTCAGTGGCAGAGTGGAAATGAAATACGAGCTGCAGCAAAAACATCCATGGGACCAATCTAATACTACAATCACATGCTGCCATTTTATTAGCCTTGCAAAATATGCTGACCAGCAGAAACATTAGACCCAATCCAGTAGGCTGATCTACTCCAACCAGATCTAACCAGCTCACAGTCAAACAAACCATATTGATTTGCAATATTTGACTGTGTCAGCAGTTTGAGGAATAAATGTTAACATTTCTCCTCCTCTCAGGAGTGACGGCCGTCCACCGCTACACAGATCTGTTGCTCATCACACATAATAGCATGTGACTGGGACGCAGTTGTCCTGCTTCCTCGGTCCCACAGCAGATGCTGCCCTGCTGTGAGTGCCACCCTAGTCAGGATCACGTTACCCAGAATAGGGTTCAGTGTGCCCAAAGCACAGCTGGCACCACTCACGGGGGGGGTCTATCGACTCTGTGTAGGTCAGCCTGTAGTTACTGCTCGCAAAATATCAAATATCAGTATCAGCTTTAGCTAGCAGGTTCCCTGGAATGATGAATTAGATTTTGTGTTTTTATTGGATTAAACAAAATCCTTGCAAAAAAAAACCTCTAGAATTGCAAGTAATAATTCATAAATATCAGAAATTCTGTCTTTGCATTATTCAGAATGGCTGTTGTATGTAGCCTAATCCTTGGTTCAATATCTTGATACCATATTTTCCACTTTTACAATAAAGTTGCATGTATAAATTATTGACCGCTACTCGGTTATTAAGCATTGAGGACGGTGAAAAAATTCAATAGGCTCGCCTTTGGTCTTGTCAGAAAGTTAGGAAATCTCAATTGTGTTGTGTGCCTGCGAGGCGTAACGGTAGGATTAGCTCTCTCACCTGGACTGCGTATCTGTGCGGCTCATCTCTCCTCAGCAGGCGCTTTGAAATTCCCTCTCACTCACTGGGGAGCTGCATCTCACACACAACACAAAAGAAAGGAAAGGAGGGAGGGAGGAGGCGAAAAGGGAAACAGCAGACAGTCATCTCTCTCCCCCATCTGCCTCACAGGTCCCCACGGGCCGTCACTATCTGTCAGTCAAGTCACAGGTGACCACCCTCTTAGCTGAACCCAGTGAAGGGCAACATTTTATAAGCCACTTGCCTGACTGCCTGGCCTCAATAGAAATCAGAAAGGGTAAAAAAAAAAAGAAGAAAAGATTCTCCAGAAAGGTCATTGCTGGCAGAAAAGCTTGAAATCTCACACATCTGGCGGAAACAAAACCTCAGCAAACCTCCTGTGTTGTTGGTGTGTGGATAAAAGAAAGGCTCATGTCTGTTGTTTCACTGCCAAATTAGATAAAGAGACAGGAACAAATAGATAACACAGGGCTGCTGAATTATCTTCATTTTCCGAGATGTCCTTGTCTGTTGTCCTTGTCAGCCTCCAAGCAACAGCGAATTCTGCTATCGATTCTCAATCGGCTGCTTCAAGCGCAAACAGCCCCAGCTGTGAGGAGCATTCAAGGCGCTGGGCAGGTGGGTGAGCGGGTGGTAGGTGGTGGTTAGGAGTTGTTCAGACCCAGATCTCTATGCTGACTTTCTCTCTTTTTTAATTTAAGATATTGATTATGCAAAGTTGCATTGGTCTGGCCTGGCCTATATGGCTGAGTGGAGGGGTTGTTTTAGAGGGTCATGGGAATATTGATGTCTGGAGGGTGAATGGTAGGTGTGAGAGTGGGGGCGTATAGAAGCGAATAACAAACAACCCCCACTGACCCATCATCAGCAATAAAAGCTTAACTGGAGTAGCAATCGATCGAGATACAGAGACACTGGAAGGTCAAATGCAAAATGTGTTTGAGCCTTTCTCGGCGACTCTGTGAGCTCAGGAATGAGCGATGCCATTTACCTTCAACCTGGCCTGCTCACGTCCAACTGTTAAAATAGAGTGCACGCTGTGTCCATGTGCAAGTAATAAGAACAGACCTATCATTATCTGCAGACACATATTGTAGGAAATCTGCTTTTCGCCC